AGGTGGGGCGACTGTGGCAGCCAATTCAAATGTGGATGAGAGATGTTTGAAAAAGCACGGTAGATGGAGAAGTGATAGTGCCAAAGATGGTTACATTGTAGATTCTTTGGATAAACGACTTATGGTATCAAGGTCATTGGAATTATAATTTTATTAATATTATTATTCACAGTTGTTTACACCCCTTTCTTTGTGTTTTTCTAGAGCAATCACGGCTGGCTGTCAGGCATTGTATGTTTGGGTTGTGTTGTATTTTAATGGTAGTAGAGTTAATACTTATATTTTCCCGCGGTTCGCCAGTAATAGCGGGAAAATATTGTATTGACGGCACAGTGCATTATAATGGAAGGTCCCATTATTAACCAATAGTTATTGAGTGTAAAGAACAGGTTTTCGAAAGGTAATTCAGGTATTCACTTCTAGCCGCCGTGCGGCACGAGTTAGACAAAAATTTTATATAATTTTTTTTTCATGTCTGTTTTATTATTATAATATATTGTAATATACTTATATATGGTCAGAAATTTGTGAGGTCCGTTCACAACTCCCCCTGCATCCAGCGGCACCTGGCAACGGACACAGGTTTTCTAGAGTTTTTGCATCGATTTTCATCGTTTTTATCTCTAGTTTTTGCCTGGCCGGCCTGATGCTATGTAAAGGGGGGTACTGCAGTTGGTTTTCGTATTTTTTAAACATTTAGTAATCTTGTAAAGAAAAGAAAGTCAGCGGTATGTTTTTCTGCATTTTAGTTTATGTGCATAGTAATGATTATGTTTAATATGTAAAACAAATAAATTACGGGCGTCCAGCAATCACGGCTGGCTGTCAGGCATTGTATGTTTGCGTTGTGTTGTATTTTAATGGTAGTAGACTTAATACGGACATTGTGTTCGAACACGTTAAGTCATCTGGCATTGATATAAAATCTGTTTTAATTACATTGACGTGCTCATATTGTAAATTTCGTTTTGAAACCTTTGTTAGAAGTGTATTTGTGCCATTCAGAATGGAGAGTGAGATTGGAAAGAGTGATCACGTTCGCTTTTCCAAACATGCCATTGTTATTTATCTAGTCTAATTTTAGACCCATTCTTACAATGTTAGCTTCACCTCTCATGCATATCTAATGTTCAATCAAGGGCAGGTAAGTGTAAATTCGCTATATTTGGAAAGCAGTAAGGACAAAAAACTTTGAATTATTTTATTGTATCACAGTCTAAAATCATTTTAAGATTTAAATGCGGTTCCAAATTGACAGTATTCTTTCATAAACATACAAAAGTGAGATAAGGTTTAGATATAAAAGCAACAGAAACAACCGAAAAAGACCCAAAAACAGGCGTTAAGTGCAGTCATCCTTTAAGAATTTTTAGTGAAATACCGGCTATATTAGTTGTTTGGATGTTTAAAATATTTTTTTTTGAGTTTATAAATTTATTATTTTTATTTTTTATTTTATTACATGTATTTTTTTTTTGGAAGGGGGGGGGGGTGGCACGATTACAACTGCGTAAATATTCATTCAGTTCAAACTAACTTCATAAGCTCAGTCTCGGTGATTTTACAGTTTTCCAGAATGATCGCATGCATGGCATTGGATGTAAGACCAGCTTATATAGTCCAGTTAAAAATGCAATGGCATCTAGATTCTGGAAAAGGTTTTGAGTCATTAGTAGCCTAAATTACTATGTAGATGTCATAACAATGAAATCCCTGAACAACAACCCCCTTCCTACCGATTTGAAAATTACATATAAAAGTGCAGAGCTATCAAGAACTTAAGTGATGAAGCGTGGTTCTGAGGCCGGAACGACCATGCAATATATGTGGGGGGGGGGGGGGGGCTCTCATATTATGGAAATTATTAATCTGTCCCTGAAAATGCTGAAAATAAATCAGTATGTCCTCCAATGGGATGTCTTTGGCGTGATGGTAGCCCCACCCCCCTCCCCAAAGAAATAGAGTTTTCGAGTTTGGATAGACTTTTTTGTTCAGTGTATCTGAAAATAAATAATCTGTACCTGGACAGTGGTCATCTAGAAAATGAATAATTTATCATTTACGTAGTGACATGAAAATAAATAATCCAACTCGAAAAAAAAATTGCACCCACAAACGAATCAGGTGTGTCCCCTAAATTGTATTATTCAGCTTTGATGTCCTGTACCATCATTGACTTAAAAAATAAAACCAAGTTTATTACCATGAAGAGTTCTTGAACTTCCAAAATATCTTAAAATTTTCGCGCAGTACACGCGCTTTTTGTAAAGCTATCTTTGTTTACTTCACTCTTTATATGATATATTATATTTACTCTCTATCCTTTTCCAAATACACCAGTATATTCAAAACTGCTTACACGTGCCCCTTCCCCCTTTCGTCCCATCAATTTGCCAATACATGTACATATATATATATATATATATATATATATATATATATATATATATATATATATATATATATATATATATATATATATGTATATATTTATTTATTTATTTATTTATATACCAATACATGTACATGTATATATACTAAAACTATGTAATTGAAAACAATTTTTTTTGGATTTTTTCTCTTGTCAAAGAATTTTAGTATGACGATCCCGATATTTAACCTATTTTTTAAAGCACCATATTGTAAGGTATCAGAATATAATGTTGAAGTATCAGCATATAATGTTGAAGTATCAGCATATAATGTTGAAGTATCAGTTTATAATGACAAATTATCATCATATAATGACAAAGTATCAGCATATAATGACAAAGTATCATCATATAATGACAAAGTATCAGCATATAATGTTGAAGTATCAGCATATAATGTCAAAGTATCAGCATATAATGTTGAAGTATCAGCATATAATGTTAAAGTATCAGCATATAATGAATGTTCTCCACATAAGGCAGCTGCGGCGTTCCATAATTTACACTGAATTATTAAGAAATGGTTTTGTGTTTCAAAAAACTATGAAAAAAGGAAATATGATATAAAACGGGTATGATACTAAACGAATTGTACTATATAACAAATTCTCGATATGCACTTTTCTTTCAAATATATTCTGGGAGGTACAAAATTTTACTTGGGGTACTAAATATTTCTGCTGAATGGAATTTCAAATCGATATACTTATAAATATAATGTCAGTTTAGTATTTTGAATTTTAAAATATTGAAAATTCGTTATAAAAGATGTAATTTTCGTTATTTTTAACCTCTACAGGACAGAAATCCAGTTCGCTATATCCGTAAATTTGTTGTATCAGAGTTCTTTATAACCGTAATATTTATACTTATAAATTAATAAATTTTACAAATAAAGTCCGAAACGGGTGCACCACAGTTCTTAATTACTCCTCTAACAATACACTGTATACAAGATGATGTCCGTAAACTATATTTAGATTTCACTCCAATAGTAAGTATCGTACATTAAATTAAAAGTCTACTTTTATTTTCTATAAACAGCCATAAAATAGGAAAAACGTGAGTACGATGGCGGTTCCGGTTGGCGGATCTAAGTTACTGGCCATTTTTAATGAAACTGACAACAAGCAATTGTTTATTTATTTCATAAAACGTCATCACTGAATCATTCAATCAAAACTTGAATTAAATGATATAAAAGAAATATGTTGTGATAACCGATTAAAAAGGGAAATGTGCAAATTATTTTCGTCATTCACCGATCTTAACATTGACGGAAGCTTCTAGAACATTATACAGCATCGAGCCCGATGTTAAAAAAAAACGAGGCAAACATAAAAAAAAAAGCTTTTGTTTGAAAGGTCATTGAAGTAATGGTTAATCATTGATAACACTGTAAGTTGTGAATATATCTATCGAAAGACTATTACAAATATAGTAGGTTTTCCTAATAAATTTATCGGTAACCGAAAGCATCGTGGCAACGAACCCGAAGTACAATTTGTACTTCGTAATATAAACTTGCTTACATGAAAAGAGAAAATTAATAAATAAGGTATTGTTCAAATACAATTAAAGCTGTAAAATTTTGTGCTTTAACCAATACATTTCATTTTTTTTTTAATCTGAATACAGTCTTTTGTATCAAATACTCGGCCTATTCATAGAACGTTAAAAGCTTTTTTTTTCTTTTCTTTTTTTTTACACAGGTACTTGGGTCTTGGTTTATAAATATGTATGTACCTTATTGATATGTTAAAAAGTAAAGTACATTTTTTGCATATCAATAAGGTACATACATATTTATTAACCAAGACCCAAGTACCTGTGAATTCTTACCCCCCCTCCCCCCCCCCCAAATCATTTTATCAGTAAAATGTGCATATTTGCTTCTTTCGCTGCTTTTATCCTTGACGAAAATGATATAAGAGCATCTGCAGTACAATATCTATAACATAGTATTACAGGTTTCAAAATAAACGTCAATTCTTCATGCGGGATTTTAAACAAAGTATTTCTTCCTGCTATAAGCTTATAGGCTGTCAGTAGAAACTACAAAATATTTTCCGTCGGTAGTGGTATAAATTCAATTCCCCGCGCTTGCGCGGGACTTCATCTAGTTTTATTAAAAGTTGTTAAGAATTTCGGCGGGGAATGCAAAAAAACGTTGCTATACCAATGTTCGTACTTAATGAGTTTTACTGTAATCGTATCTCAGTGTAATATTAGTCGAATGTAGACAAAAAAAATTCTTATATTGATATGGAAAGTCACATGCAGGTCAATGCAAGGATTTTTTTTTCAATGTTGGCTCTCAGCGAATCAGAAAGCTAGGAATTATTCAATCAATAATTCAAGATATCCTAAAAAAAAATTATAAGTTGGAAGAAATTCCAAGAATCAAATGCATATACAAATTGTCATCTTTTATTTATTTATTTTTTTAATTTATTTAATTAATTTAATTTAATTTAATTTAATTTAATTTTTCTCTTTTTTCTTTATTAAGACATCACTTTCATTTCATATATGAAATAGAAGTTTATCTTATAATTTACTTGACAGGTACTGCATACTCGTACCATGTAATAACATTTGGAATGTATGTGGACGTGTTGTTGAGAAAGGCGGATCCAAAACACAGAAATGTAGACCAGATCTTTAAAGAGGAAATAGCGGAACCTTTCGGTATAAATTATTTTCATTAATTGGTCTATCCTTAAAACCAGAGACATAAATGCTAATTATGTCTCTGTTAAATCACCTTAAAATATTTCTTACAACATTTAAGATAATAAATAAAGGGAGGAAAAAAAATTTGACAAGTGATGCTGCCAAGATACCAAATTATCAAGTCTAAACCCAAATGCAGAAACGGCTATTTGCAAAAATTCAAGCACAGAATACATACTTTATAGGTAGATGCTCTTCAGATGCTTTTAAGAACCAAAAGAATCAATTAATATGTTATATTCGTGTTAGTAGAAGGATATTTTTCAGATAAATGTATGGGCGAATGATCAAATCACTGAATTAATGAAGAAATACCCATTAACAGATGTTTAACCTCAATAAAATGTGACAGTGAATACTTGCTGCATAGATTAAAAAAACGGAAGATGATTAAGAATATTATACTTAATATAAGTAAAAGATTATTTTGGGATAATCTATTTAACCAAGAGCATAATAAATGCAGTATTATCAAATCACTGTGTCACATCATTGGCTTCGTTTACGAATTGAATTGCCTTACTTAGCTGATATGCGCTATATATACGCACGGACCAGTCTAAATGCATAGCAACTCTAACTCGCTATTTTGATTTCGAACTTATTCCAGACGCCATTATTGTCCACCAATTTCGCGAAAGCGAGGAAACATTAAATCTTATTCGTCTGTCTGTCCGTCTGTCTGTCTATCACCAAAATTGTAACCTTGGTTAAAACTTTCGAATGAGAAAAGACCGGGCTTTCATATCTCAGATGAAAAGACTTCTCCAGATATACTATGATTTTTTACACCGTAACCTTGGCTTTGGAGCTTGGCCTACTTTAAAACATATTAACAATGATCATAACTTTTGAATGAGAGAAGATAGGGCTTTCATATTTCACATGTGCTTATTTATGAATATACTATGATTTTTGACCCCTTGACCTTAAACTTTGACCTACTTTTAAAAAATTTTTAACAATGGTCATAACTTTTGAATGAGAGACAATATGGCGTTAATATTTCACCTGGAATTACCTGTGACCAGATCTTTCCGATTATTTTGACTTCACGAACTCAAACTCGATGTTTAACCTACTTTTCAAAAAAAGGGTTAACATTGATAATAACGTTTGAATGAGAGAAGGTAGGGCCTTAATATATTTTACATGTACATTACCTGTGACAAACCTTTCAGAAAGTAGTATAATTTTTTCCCTCATGACCTTGACCTAAAAAGTTTGACCTACTTTTCAAAAGTTATAACTTCGGCCGTAACTATTGCACCGGAAGAGACAGGACTTTCATATTTTTTCACATGTGCATTAATTGTAAGAAGACCTTATTTTCATGATTAACAGACAAGAAAGAACAAGCAGACAAGACAGTCTCAGTATGTCATAAATATTTGCATCACAACCAAGACCCCCTTCGGTGTACACTGAATGTACGTGTATTTTTAACAGAAGGAAAAAGTAACAAGTCAATACATGCTAAATCACCATAAAATCGTTAAAAATATTAAGAATATCTAACTTCTTAAATTTGTTTTTGGAATAGTGTTTTATAAGAGCATGGTAGATCTATATGAATCCGTGGGTTTGATGTTCTCTTCTGAAGAATTCTTTAAATTCATACTAAAACTTTGAACCTTACATACATGACATGACCTGAAAATAAAATTTAATTTTACACAACATAGGATTATTTAAATGACAAACTGCAACTTTGTTTTGAGTTCCTCGGAGGTATGTTTTTCTTTGAGGCTTTGTATGCAAGAGAGAATCCTACGATTTTTTAAAAGATTTCTTTCGATAAGTCTTCTTTTTTTTCTCAAACTGATTTATTCATTCGTACAATTCTGTAAAATAATTATGCAGAATATTATCAGAATCACTTATAGGCATGACTGTAGCTTCTACTCGAGAAAATCACTTTGGCTGTATAGGATGAGGCTTGTCGAATCCTACACATCAAACATGCTTTCTAGGATGAGCTTTATCCACGTCCTACACAGCAAACATGCTGTCTACGATGAGGCTTGCCGAGACATTTACAAACATGCCGCCTAGGATATGACTTGTTAATTCCTATACAGCAAACATGTTAATAAGAATGAGGCTTGCCGAAACCTATACAGGAAACACCTCGTCTAGGATTAGGCTTGCCGAATCCTAAACAGCAAATATGTCGTCTAGGATGAGCCTTGTCGAGACCCACTGGGCAAATATGCCATCTAGGATGAGCCTTGCCGAGACTTACACATCATGCCGTCTAGAAAAAGTTGCCAAGTCTTACACAGAAAAAATGCCGTCAGTGATGAATCTTGCCGAGTCCTACACAGCAAACATGCCGTCTAGAATAAGGCTTGCCGAGACCTATGAAGCAACATGCCATCGAGTATTAAGCTAGTCGAAATCTACACTACACAGCTAACATTCCGTTTAGGATGAAAGTTGCCAAGTCCTAAACAGCAAACATGCCACCTATGATGAAACTAGCAGAGATTAACACTACACAGCAATCATGCCAATTAGAATGAAAGTTGCCGTCTATGACGAGGCGTGCCGAGTCCCTCACAGCAAACATAATCTTCATCATTGGAGATTGGAATTTTAAGTGGGATGTACACATAAAAAAAATCAATATTTTGACTTGACCTGCCAAATGTTATTAGTTTACTGAACGAGGGAAAATAACTCTTATAGTGACGGCAAAAGGGATCCCATTAGAAGTGATTTATCTACCATACACTCGATTCTTATATTAATTAAAGCGCTAGTAGTGGGGGGAGGGGAGTAATTGTAGATTTATATTTCTGTGTTGAATGCTTTTACATTATATTTTCTAATCGATATGATAAAAAATTTATAGCCATCTCCAAATGACATTTATATTCTTAGCTACTTATTCTAATGCTAGTAAAATGATTTTAAAGTACATGTAAAAACACACAATGAATTGTGTAAATCAATTCCCATATTACAATATGAGATGTCAGAAAATGGAAATAATACAAGCTTCAATATTTCACAGATATTGACATCCACTATGGAATGCCAAGAAGTGAGCTGTACCGTAATTCTCGATTTGTTCCACTCAGTCTAACAAATATTGTGAGACATACATTACAGTCATTCAGTCTTAAACAGTTCAACATCTTCTTCACTCTCATGGACCCTACATCAATGTTTACAAAGGCCAGCTATTCCGGATTCAATCAGGAGCTGACGGTAATCTTCACTATTTTAGGTCACCTGAGTCATTCAGGTGATCTATTGCTATCTGTTTTTGTCCGTCGTCGTCTGTCGGTCGTAAACTTTTGGACATTTTCAGCTTCTTGACCTAATTACAATTTTGGCGTATAGCATCAATGTGTGAAGGAGTACAAAAACTGTGAATTTCATGGTCCCTGCCCCCTGGGAATGAGGCTAAACCCATCAAAATCAGTGCTATCCTTAAATATCTTCTTTACTACAGGACAGCAAACTGTTGAAATATTGTAATATACTTTGAGTCCCCTACCAAAATTTTGAATTTCATGGCCCCTGGGTCAGAGATTTTGGTGTTAAGGCAGAGCTATATAGATCAGATATTGAAAATGCACAAATTATTTAAACATCTTCTTCCCTGCTCCTTGGTATTTAACATACAAATTAATTGCATGGTTATGATAAGCAAGGGTGCCTCTTCCAAAATTATGAAATTCATAGCCCAATGATCAGGGGTTTTGGTGTTAAGGTAGGGTTCTGGTTAATATATCATGAAAATGCATTATTTCTTTGAAAATCTTCTTTTCTGTCCCTGGGTATTTAGGAAACATACTAATTGCATGGTTATGATGAGCAAGGGTGCCTCTTCCAAAATTGAGAATTCTGGATCCTGTGTCTAGGGCCTCTGGTGCTAGGATGGGTCTCTATTGATTGTATAGTGAAAATACATTAATTCTTTGAAAATCTTCTTCTCTGCTCCTGGGTATTAAGCAAACACAGTAAGTGCATAGTTATGATGAGCAAATGTGCCCCTTCCAAATTTTTGAATTTCATGGCCCCTGGCTAAGGGGTTCTGGTGTTAGGACAGGGCTGTGTTGAATCTATAGTGAAAATGCATTATTGTGTTGTTTGAAACTTGATAATACTAGAATGGAAAAAGATCAAAGACCAATAAGAATTAAGGTCGCATAGTGAGCAAATTTCATTACCATGCTCAATATTAAATTCCAACATACTCCTTCTAAATTAAAATCTAGAGACTTTGAGTGTTTTATTTTCAAAATTCAAGGACAAGAAGCCAGATTTATCACTAGTATTTTCAAAACGCCTGCTAGCAAATAAACACATATTTCACCTTTAAATATTTTTGGAGACTAGTACATTTCAAAGTTCTGGGTCATGAGATCAGTACTTCTAGCATTTTGCAAAATCCAACATGTCCAAAAAGTTAGATCCCTTTGATTGTTTAAAAAATTCTGGGCGTGAAGCATTGAGATCGGGAAAGAAGCCTGTCTAAGAAATCTCTATGTCCTTCACGTCTGAAGAAATTTTCTTTATCATTTAGTTTGCTGCTTTCAACAATCCAGATTTAAATCAAATTCCTCTGACGTCATTTCTCGGATTCGGAAATTCACGGTCATTGGCCAAGCTCTGGGGAATTTTGGCCAACGGAGGGACCTATAACAACAATACCCTCCTGAATCCGGCGATGATTAATCTACTGGGGTCCCCCTTAATCAGCGGTCGCAGTAAGGACGGGGTGCTCGACACAACAGTTGGTCGAGGTGTATTTTTCTTACCAACACCTCAGGTAAGCCACCTTAAAATTCCATTCAGAACATTTGTATCAGCCTTCATCATTTTCCTCTCTTTTTAAAAATTGATCCAGAAACATTTTTTCTCCATTTATCTATCATCTTCAAATACAATACCCATGAAAGAGACGCTATAAGGTGATGTGACTGCGGGTTTGCAGACAATATTTTAAAAATTTACAACCCGTGCACTACAATGTAATGTAAAGATTTCATGTTTCAGGGACATTTATCGTTTGGACATCCAGGTTATGGTGGACAAACAGCATATGCAGACGTCCAGAATAACGTCGGGATCGGCTATCTCACAAGCTACCTCAAGTCTTTCACGCTCGGAGACGACGTACAATTTCTAGAGTACGAAGCAGCTTTCTACGAATGTCTGGAAAAATATGTCAAAGGAAATACATAGAATTAATTATAAATGCTGAAAGCAAATTACTTGGTTGGTTTGAACATATTTTATTGTAATTAATAAATACAATGGGATTGGGCACAAGTTCTGAAAACTTATTACGCCCTCTCCCTACATGTAAATTACATATTTAAATCGTCACAGTTAAACATGAAGTTTTAAAGTATACAATAATTGCAAAAGTTTACAAAACGATGCATTTTGCTGATATATAGATACACTTAATTTTGTACCAATGCATATACTGATACATTAGTTAATGCTAACAAGGAAATCTACCAGAATGTTTAATAAATAATTGAACAAAAGAAAAGAGACGTTCATTTTCTGCAGCATTCAATGAATCTACCCCCCATAATAAGACATGAGTATCTAGAATGTGGATCTTATCAAATTGTAAAAATTTATTTAAGAATTCTTTTCTGGCTTTCTCATACTTTGGACATACAAAAAAATAATGATATGTATCCTCAACTTTACCACAGGAGCATAAAGGACTTGATATTAAATTGCATCTATAAAGGTCGCTATTCAATACGCAATTATGCCGTAGTCTAGTTTGCAGAACATTTAGTCGTCTGTTACCGTAATCAAAGTATGATGGTGGAGCAGATTTTTTAGTACTAATTTTAGATTTGAATTTTGACATTGACTGTAAATTTCGAATTTCGAGTGGAATTGAGTTCCATTCATTAACTACTGTCGGAATAAATGTAGACTTATAAGTTTGTAATCGACATTTTGGAATATCATAATTTTGAGAATTTCTTGTAGAGTATATAGATGTGTTACAGCGCATATCTGGAAGTATGTTCATTAAGTATTCAGGCACTAAATTATTATGAAGCTTGAACATAGTTTTATTCTAGCTTCTTGTCTTCTACAACTAAGAGGTTCCCATCCCGTTTCAAAGTATAGTGAATCTTTAGAAGCTATAGTTGTTAACCCTGTTACAATTCTAGCAGCATAAAGTTGCAGTTTTTCTAACTTATCGTTATCACTATATTGACAGCATCCCCATACCACTGAAGCATATTCAAGTTGCGGTCTTATAAATGACGTATACATGAGTGAGAGAGTTTTTCGATTTACTTTAAATTTTAATTTTTTCAAAAGAGATAATTTTTTGTAGGCATTAGACAGTAGATTTTCAATATGCAGTGACCAACTAGCGTCGTGTGAAAAAAATACTCCGAGGTGTTTGTGTTCAGAGATGAAGTCCAATTGACATTGTTGAAAAAGAAGCTTAGGATATTCTATGTTTTTCTTTGTACTAAACATTATTGCTTTAGTTTTAGAGGGATTAAATTTCAATAACCATTTTTTAGACCAAAGTTCCAGAGCATATAGATCTTTGTTTAAGTCTCTTTCAATAATTTTCATATTATGAGAAGAATGCTGCAAAGAATTGTCATCAGCAAATAATCTACAAAAAGTAACCATATTATCAGCAACATCATTCACATAAATTAAAAACAAAAGTGGTCCTAAAACGGAGCCCTGAGGAACACCAGCAAATAAGGGTTTGGGTGTTGATAACAAGTTACGATACATCACCCGTTGATATCTACATTCAAGATAATTCTCAAGCCATTTGTACAGACTACCAGAAATTCCATATGTTTTAAGTTTAAATAAAATACCTTTATGCCAAACACGATCAAACGCTTTTGAAAGATCACAAAATACCATACAACAAAATTTTCCATCATCAATAGCTTTTACAATGTTGTCATATGTTTCTATTAACTGGTACACTGTTGAGTGACCATGTAAAAAACCAGCCTGATATTTATAAAAAAGATTATTGTCATGAAAATAATTATAAATATATTTAAACACAACTCTTTCCATGATTTTTCCAACACAGCTCAACAATGAAACTGGTCTATAATTAGACATTACAGAAGGATCTTCTTTTTTAAAAAGAGGAAGTACATTTGCTAATTTCCAACCGGAGGGAAAAATACATTCATTCAGAGATCTATTGAACAATAAACAAAGCGGTTTAGCAATAGTAAACTTTGCTGATTTTAACATCTTGTGGCTTATATTATCAGGACCAATAGCTTTGTTTGTAGGAAGTATTGATACAATATCAATTATTTCTTGCTCAGTAATACATATACTACTAATTTCACTGTTACATACATAATATACCTCAGGTAATTCTGAACCACTATCATCAACACATGATACAGATGTAAAATAATTATTGAGTACATCTATTTTCTCTTCATTTGAATAAGCAATATTTGTACAACCAGTATCTGTTATATATTGTAATGGTGGAATATCAGAGGTAACTTTAGTTTTAAAAACATCCTTCAATAATTTCCAGTATAGTTTCGAGTTGTTTTTGCTAGCGTCAGTAAGATGTAATTCTAGATTATTCTTGTAATTTTCAATTGCATGTTTTTTCATATTATTAAACTTATTTCTCACTTGTTTAAAATTTGTCTAATCAGAGTCTTTTTTGCTTTTTTGGGCTTTTCGTTTAAGTCTATTTTTTATACGAAGAGTTTTGCGCAATGCGGAATCAAACCATGGTTTATCTTTCGGCCGTATAATAACAGATCTTTCAGGTATACATTGTCTAACTATATTCATGAATGCCAAAGAAAAGTTTTCAGTTGCCTGATTAACATTTTGTGCATTACAAATGAGGTTTGCCCAGTCGGTATTTTCGATAAGTAAATTTAGTTTGTCTATGTCTGCATTTTTATATACCCACACCTTACGTTCATAAGATTGGTCTAGATTAACGCTTGATTTAAGAAAAATATATGTCCCTTTGTGATCGCTTATTGCACTGTCTGTGTGTAACACGCCTGAGTGAAGAACTGAAATATCTGGATTGACTAGAATTGGGTCAATAAGTGTGTTCGATGAGCTCGTGATACGAGTGGCTTCATTGATAGTGTTTGTGAGATTGTATTTTAACAGAATTTCATTCATGATGTGTGTTCGAGGAATGTTAAAGAAATCTACATTAAGGTCTCCAACTAAAATTATTTTACTGGAAATATCAGAAGCTTTTTCTATAGACCACATAAGATTATTCCAAAAGGATTTGTTGCTATTTGGTGGACGGTATACACAGCAGAGCAAATTACTTAATAAAATTGAAATACTTAGCATATATAAATACAACTGCATTAGGGGGGAACCAAGCATGGAATCGTTCTTCAGAAAAGATTGGCGTTAATTTTTATCCTCTGAATAGAAAACCCGATTACCTGAGAGTGAACTTGATTTGTTTTTTTTTTCTACATTCTACATAGTGAACATGATTTGTTTTTTCTACATTCTACATAGTGAATAATAGGGATACAGTGAATAAAAGGATTTAGTGTGATGTACATGTAATCACTTATAAATGCATCGATCACTTTTTCAATTGGGAAACACATGAACCATGCAGTTTCAAAATTTGACAGTCTCTACGCTGAACACGGGGCCGTACACCATGTAATACTTATGTTACATTAAAAGTTTAAATCTAAAGTTTAAACTTATCTATAACTAACAAGTGAACTTGTGATGAAATTTATTAAGATATGATTTACGAAATATAAATGTAGAAGTTTGTATATATCCGAAAATAAATCGAGTAAAGTTACATAAAACAAAGACGATTTGAAATGCTCACACACGGACACACACAAACGTTTTGGTAACTCGGAATAGTCCAGAGTAAAATTTTGTTTTCCTGATGACGGAATGTCCAGTACATCTAATATTCACGTCCGGGATTGTCCACGGCGGTTCTAAAACTGACTCTCTCACACAACACATGGCATTCACTTAAACTTCAATTAACACATTTACGCAATTATCACACATACGAGTCGGACACTTTTTGAGGCAGAGGATTGACACTAATTCCTTAAATAAATATTGAGTGGCAAATTCCTTTTTACTGTCTAAACATTAATTGTTAGATAAATAATTTTAAGTATATGAAGCATTAAAAATCATTCTTTTTATAAAATCAAATTTTGTTAGATTGTAAATTAATTTTGTAAAATTTACTATGTGACAATCCTTCCCCTCTCCGAGTAAGACTCTGTCCCAGAGTCTACAAATTCTCAAATTATTGAATAATATAAATATGACAAGGACATATATATTGAATTTTTAAACAATTTGTAAAAAGTCTCTGATAGTCCGGAGTTCAAAATCAAAATCCATAAAAGGGAACATAATTTGCTGTCGGTATGGAAGGCTGTCGGGGACAGGATGAAAAGCGCTGTTGTTGTGAAGGTTGATACGTCCGCACTACAGGATATGGTGATACGGAGTAGTTAGGAGAAGTAGCATTCTGTTGTTCTTTATTACGTTTCGGTTTCTTTTTCCGCGAGGACTGTTTAGCTTCTATATGGTTAGGATGGCCTGGGGGATACCAAATTTTTCCTGTTCTGTACGCTTCCATAGCTGGCATTTGTGTGGATGCGTCGCTGACTTGTTTGGGGCTACATGTATCCGTGTTGGTCCCGACGCTTTTCTTCTGTATGGGAACTGGAACACAGGGTACCGGTGGCACTAACCTAATAAAACTTAACTGACGCTCCTTTGCTACCAGCCGATCTGACACGGACCGAAGGGCTTCTCTCAGGTCAAAAATTTCTGTGTCCATTCTTCCGATCTTCTTTTCCAGAGCTTTGTTCTTTGTTCGCGCGTCGTTCAGTTTGTCTTCCAGGTCATCAACAAATATTTTCTTTCTTTCTTTTTCATCCTTGTTTTTCTTCCACGCAGCTGAGAGTTTACTCTCTAAGGATGTAAGTTGTTCTTGCTGACTCTCAATTATTTTCTTGAAATTTCGCACTTTATCCGTTAATGTTGTGCTCTTGCGTTGTTGGTCACCTAAAGGCTTTGTAGACAGGGAATTTATCGAGAATACAAACTCAGTCTGAGATTCAATGCTGTAAAATGGGAATTCCATGGCAGACATGCGTCTAGACTGAAACTCATTCCAGCGTTTTTGGTCGCGTTCTTTCTTATGG